TTGGGGGGTCACCACCACATGCGGAACTGTATGAAAAGGTCATGCATTAGGAAGGTTGAGAACCACTGCCCTAGAGAGTGGAAGCCCACCATAGGAGCGGGGTCCCCTTGCTCGCTCTCCCTGAGCTTTCCATTGGATTCCCAGCCAGTAATCATCCCATCTGTTCCCATGCACCAGTGTGCCTTTCCGCATACTCTGGCCTGTCTCCCTTCCTCTCCCACCCTTTGTCTCAGCTCCTCGTGTCTTCTCTACCCAGAGCCCCCTGGGTGGTATGCCTCTCTGGCTGGGTTAGTTCCCTACCTTCTGGGCAGAGTGCCTAAATCACACCCTCCCCCAAGCTCTTGTGGCTTTGTTTAGGGGCTCTTCATGCCATTTGGCCCCCTGCTCGCTTCCTTCTGTTTACCCTGCTCGGTGGGGGAGGACTCCCTGTAGACCCAATTTGGGCTTTCTGGAAGTCTCTGCTGCCTTCCTGGCTCTGCCCACACACAATGCCGCCTCCCTTTTCCTCCCTGGGCGAGGTGAGGCCCATTGCAGGCTGCCCTTCTCTGTTCTGGCTCTCGTAGGAAATTGTGTGGCAGCTCTGTGATTAATAGACTTTATTTTTATCTGGTGGCCTTCAGACATGTGATCCTTTGGGATAGAAATGACCTTTAGAGAGGTCATAAGGCCCCCTCATCCCCTCCCCATCCTCCCCCCCTGCCCCTTCCACCGGGCCAGGAATGCTTTTAATAATCTCTAATGCATCCTAAGTAGAGAGGTGTCTGGTCGCCTCCTTGAATGTCCCCAGGGATGGTGTTACCATCCGCTGCCCTTTCTTTCATGATCCTCGCTGTGCTTTGAATGATTGTTTGCCCTTCATATGAGCGAGCCGCCCATTTTCTCTCCTCCAGGCCCACCTGGCCTTTGCTTAGCCGTCCTCAGACAGACGGGCACAGCCAAATTTTGTCTGTTTTGGGGTCCTCTTGCTTCCCCTCGATTCTCGGTTGACTTCTGGCCACTCACCACCCTCCCTGTGACTCCCAGCTCTGAGTTTTCTTCCTGCTTCTCCTGGAAGCACAGCACTCCCATCGGAAGGAAGGCGCACCAAGGCCAGTGGCTCCAACAGCAACAGGCACATTTCTGTGTTGATTTCCCACACCAGCTCTTGGGGCATCCCCCCCAGCCCCCCTCAGCAGAGACTGGAATTACTTGGCCCCACCCCATGGCACTGGGCAGCCTCTCCGCCACCAGCCGATCAGGCCGATGCTCATTCTGCACAAGCGTTTGACTATTCTTGCTTCCATCAACCAGTCTGCATTTGGCCCCATTGAGGCCCCGTGCAGAGATGCTGTAACGCGTGACTCCGATATGACAAGATTGAATGAAGACCAATTTCAAGACATGGGCCCAGTAGTTACATTCCATTCTCCACGTTCGACAGTCCCTGCATGTTTGTACCATCTGTGGTTAGATTTGGCTTAATTCCCACTCTGTCGTTTACATTACTCATGAAGATATTGGGCCCCCTTGGAACTCAGCACCTCTTCCTGGTTTATGTGGAGTGGGAATAGCCCTCTTTCAGATGGGATTGGATTTCAGCCCTGCTGGTGTTTATTTCTGAGTGTAGCTGCCCTATTATCCTCTTCTCCTCATGCCCCTTTCAGGATGGGTGGTTGACATATTATTATCTTAGTCGCTAAACTTCAGTGATAGATAGTTTGTCTGTTGTCTTTCATTCAGCCATTGGATTTCTTCCACCCTAGAGGAATCACACATCATGGGAAGGTAATTTACATTTTGCTCAATCCGAGGTAGGTATGGATGAATACTTCCGTTTTCCAGCAAGTAACCCATCTCTTGTAATTATTCTGAGAGTTGACTGAACTTCAGAATTAAAGTTCTGCTTTGAACCTTCGGATCCTTTGCCACAGGAAAAGTGTACACTAGGCACAAACAAAGGCTACTGAATACGACTTGGTGGGAAAGTGTGGGCCTTGGACCACCTGCCTAGAAATTACCCAGCTGCTTCTTGAAGAACGCAGATTCCTGGACCTCACCCCGGGCTTCCTTCATGATTAGCAGCCCTGGCGGCTGGCCCGACAAGCATATATTTTTCTGGGCTTCTCTGGGGATTCTTAGGAACTTTGACTCTTGAGTATTCTCCTTGAGAACGCCCAGCCTACTCCATTCCCACTGGGAGACTTGTGGCCTCCGGCTGCTCAGCCCGTCTGATTCCCTGCCCTGTGCATCGGGAAGGCCCGGGGTCTCCAGGAGTTCTCCAGGCAGAGTGCCACCGACTTGCAGCATTCTTTTAGCTGGTCTCTGTAATCTCCCCAGTTCTTTCAGCATGGCCCCATGTGAAAGGGGGCCTTGGGTTTCTTCCTGGGCTGGAACAACGTTCCAAGAGAGTGCCTCTTCCCTTCTACACTGCTCACTGGTTTGAGTTTTCTGTTAGCATCACTGAGGCAGATTCCGAACAAATGAGAGATGTGCCGCCCCCCCCAATTGAACACACACACACACACACACACACACACACACACACGCACACTTTTTTCCAAGAGCCTCATAGAGAAGACGGTGGTAACAAGTTGCTTTTCAGGGAGAACATTTTGTCCTTGAGTGCCTGCTCTTTGGGGAGGAGTCCAGCCAGCATCTGAAAGCGATGTTGGTGCAGGAGACCCAGGCCCCATTCCCAGCATAT